CTGCATAGGATATCTATTCCACTTGCGTTACTTTGAAGCTCTCACTATCGAAGGTAAGATCGCCATCATCTCATGCGCAGCTCCCCAAAACTTTCATTTAGTTCCAAATTTTCCAAGTCTTATGATTTCCTCAATAGCCCGGTGGCTTCGGAGCGTCACCGTTATCCCACTCCTGTACCATCGCTGCACATACCAATTCCAGCCCGAGAGCAAGAAATCCATTTTTGCGAGAATCAATTTACCACGGTACGCTCGCAATCCTGCCTCATGAACTCTCAATGCGGTCAATCGAATCGGTCGCTCCATAACTGCTTTATCCCGTTTGAGCTTTCGCACCACAATCTCTTGTCGATTTGCAATAGTATGATTGTGTAAATCGCTGCGATGGCGTTGCTGCAGGAACAAAATGTGGGAGCCGAACTCACGTCCTCTCGAGTCTAGCCCGCCGTCGCAACGGTAGAATCAACTCGTGCGAATTGAAGGTGCCGCCATTCAAATTTCTTTCTCGTGCGGCACCAACTTTTACTCCACTGGATATCCTTGACCAGAAGGACTTCGGAGGTAACTTTGAAGTCATCATCGTTGAAAACCGAATACCCATTTCCGAAGGCTTATCTAGGTCTTCGGAGAACCTAGGTCTTCGCCACGTCCTTCCATCGCTCGAGTCTCACTAGTCCGTTCCTCCGGCTTTGGACCTCATCGGCCTCCGCAGCCAAGCTCTGCCCAGGATGATCCTTCGTACTTCCTACTCCTACTTAGCACATACACTAAAAGGTCTTATTCTCTTATCTTCTAACTACTACTATCTCAAAAGTTAAAACTTACGTGGGTTTTCCTTCCTAACTACCTTATTTTCAAAAAAATGGAAAAACTGCACTACCCTCGTCACTTAAAGCTCCTTAATAAAGGGGGAACGCGAGCTATTCCCGCCCAGGCTTTCTGCCCACAGCCCGATCCCCCCTTCCGCAGCCCGACCTCCCCCCTCCGACCTCATCCCCTCTCCCCCCGCAGCCCGATTAGAGAGGGCCGCCTCCCGACCCCCTCCCCCGCAGCCCGACTAGAGACGGCCGCCTCCCAACCCCTGGTTTAGGGTTTAGGGGTCCGGGTAACCCTTAGTGGCTAGGATAGCCACTATATTAACTTGTGTTATGTGTAATGTGACACATTACACTCCGTGAGGGAAAGAGATTCATTACATTACACTCCGTGAGTGTTCATTACATTACAATTTGTGAGTGTCAAATTGTTAACCAAAGTCATTTTTAACTCTCCTTACAACATTGTGAACTATTTTGACCTTCTCCCCACTTCTTTTCTTCTCAAGGTATGTACAACTCTCTATATTTTTTTATTCTTCATTCAATTGTAAAATGCAACACTTTTTTTTAACTTTATATACATGCAAGTTTGTTTTGTATTGTTTTGCAAGTTTTGCAAGTTGCATATTTTCATTTGAGTATTGTGTGCTAAATGAAGATGATGTATTTGTATACTTTGTGTCAAGCATTGGCGTGAGAGATGGAATAAGATGGAGACTACATGAAGGATAATAATTTCTATACCTCCGACTTTGAAGACGATTTAAGTGAGATGGTGGGGATGGAAGAATTTCTTCAATGTGTGCACATTCAAAATTTAGAGTTTCAAGAAACTCATTTCTTGTCATCAAATGGAGAGTCGGATGAGGATAAGGAGGATGTTGATGAGGAGATTTTGGAGCCTTGGAAGGCGATGTTAGAGTAGTGTGTGGAGCATGTCAACATTGGAGATCCAACACCTTCATCAATTTTTGAAAACATTTCCATTGAAACATTTCCCAAGTATGTGCATTTCAATCTCAAATCTCTTGCACTCATGATTGATTGTATAAGAGCAGGATATTTTCCCTCATATCAACAAATTCATAAGGTAAATTTTTTCTTTTGTCCCCTTTCCAATCTTCATAGACGGAAGGTCTATGAAGATTCTATGAAGGTCTATGAAGACCCAAAAAAATGTGAAATTTCTTACAATTGAGAGGTGGCAAAAACTTCAAGTAAATTTAAAAGTTGTAGAAGTGGATTTGATTTATCCCTTTTGAATGACACAAAGGGTAGACAAATTCTGCCAATAGAGTCTTGGCGTTTCATTATGCATGGTGAACACATTGACAAAAATGAAAACATTTGTCATTCACCATGACAACAAATGTCATTAGTACTCAATGGAGTACGGATAGCTATGTGGAAGGAATTCAAACCTCATTCACACAAAATTGTATGAACTCTTGTGATGTATGCCAAGAGAAAAAAATGTGGGTTGAGGTAGTGAAAGTTCCATTAGAGGATTTGAGTGCAACTATAGATGCACTTTGCACAAAGTACATTGTGTTAAGAAGGCGTTTGAGATGTTATGTAGGAAAAACCAAAACCGTGACTTATTACCGTTGTCATCGTGGACACAACAAAAACTATCCTCAAAGAAGAAAGTTTGATGTGAAACCTATGGATGACAAGGGCTCAAGAAGGAATAGATCTTTAGATTATTTCATTGAGAGTTTCAAATGAAGGTTGAGGAGCCCCATGTGTCAAAGTGCTCAAACACTTTGCCTCATAGTAAGCTTCAAGCTACAATCTATGTTCATAACAAACATAGTGATCACACTCCGGTTCCGATTGCGATCTTTTTTTCCTACCAGTACATCCTTATGTTATCACATAAGTTATAGAGAACTTGAAGTTCAGGCTTTCACCAAGGATCATTGAAGCAACGTCGGTTGAAGCTTAAGAAAGATTTTCACAAAGTATACCGGAGGTGGAACGTGCTACATATAGATTTTTTGTCATCAAAAAGAAATGAATATTCTTTAAAAATCAACAAAAATTAATTCTTTTTTTCATATTTCATTTTTTATGTGAAGTTATGAAATGCATTGAGTATTCATTGTGCATTAATAATTTATTTTTTTGTACCATTTTCTTTTTAAATTTTTCATGTTTATGTTTTAATTTGTATTCAAATTTTTGATTGGGTGTGTGTAGATGCACTTTGGAAAGACGATTGGGATGCGACACAAATTGAGATCATGAATTTACAAGCTGAAGTGAAAATTTTGTACTATAAACCATATGCATCCAAGAATGAAGATCTCAAGAAGAGACCATTTGTGGTAGTTATACAAGATGATTTCATGCAAAAATCGGGCCTACGGTTTTCAGGTGATAATTTTTGGGCCTTGGATTCTACATTGAAAACAAACCAATACAGTTTGCCTCTTTATGCATCAATTGTACCAAATCAAGATGGAATTGAAATTACAATTTTTTACATGCTTTGTAGCAATGACGTTAAAGATGAACATGAGGGTCTTGCTATAGAGATAGCATTAGCCCATGTTTTTGGATCTTTAGGAGAGCTAAGACCTTCCGCAATCATCATTGACAAACACAAGTCATCTTTGAATGCTATTGAAAGAGTTGTGAGCAATGATATTCATTGTTGGACTTATGAAGAAGGTACCAAAACACAAGTTGCTGGACAAGTTCTCTCGTGTCATTTCCATGTTATGAAGGCATGAAGTGAGAACTTGTTAACCAATGTACCTAATGAAAACAAGGATCGGGTGTGAAGAGCATTACATGTTCTAATGCTTTGCCTTAGTGAAAACCATTTCAATGAAAATTTAAGAAGATTTTGTGTTGAGTTTCAACACATACCGACCTTTGCCAAATATGTAATTTCCGGATGGGCCAAAATTACTTGTCCTTGGAAAAGGTTGTGGCCTCGATTTGGGAGGTTATTTGCTTATAAGGGTATGGATACAACTAACTATGTTGAAAGACATTGATTAAATACACTCTCTTACATGGAAAAGTGAACCGGTAACTCCGAGACCTTATTGTGGCAATTGTTGGTAGTGTCCAGGATGGCACTCGTGTGGGCCAATCCACATTCTTGAGTCAATTCAAAATGACTCAAATGTTAAAGTAAGTTTTTCATTTTTGTATAGTATTCTATGTTTATTTCATTGTATTCAAATTTTTTTTTAAAAAAGATCTTTTGAACATGATGCTAAGTTCAAACCTTTTTTTTGAACTTGTAGTTGACTATGAACGATACATAAGGAGAAAAAATGATTAGGCTCATAGACGTCGATTGACAGGAGGAGAAAGAATTTTGAAGGCTTATCAATCTTGTACTCTGAATGTCTTGAAGGTTGTTGATGAGTAGCATCTCCTCTTTCATGCCAAGAGTGAGACTTCTTCTGACCTGTGCTATACTGTTTCTTTGAAATCACATTATTGTGATTGTCCCGATAGGGTCTCCACTTGCAAGCACATACTTGGTGTGCAATCGATTGTGAGGGTAGTAATTGAAGTACTCAAAGAAAATGAAGTGGTTGAGGAACCATTGACTCCAGAAATCAACATGGAAGATATGGAGCTTATGACTCCAACTCAACTCGATGTACCAAGGGAGTAGTCTCTTTCGATTGGTGTCATGCGTGAGAAGATGTTCAACATGGTACGTGAAATGGAATCACATTTTCAAGCAACTCATGACAATGAAGAAGAGGTGAAGCAAAAATTTCAAGCACTTCAAGCTTGTTTTGACACAGTATTGGAGCCTTCAAATTTTGAAAGGCCCAATATAATTACTCTTCCCCTCCGAGGTTCTATTGCTTCCATTCAAGAGAACGTGAAGCGAACGAGAATGGGACATGGGAAGAAACGTGAAATTTTGGAAGTTGGTGAAACAAGTGCTCCACGCCCCCCTTTGAAGCGCTCTTCACATATGCTTCTTTCACAATCCAAGCAAAAAATGATGAATTTTTGTAAGCTTCCCAAAGTCACTTGTGACATTTGTGCTACAAAAACATTAAAAGAGTGAGGAGCAAATTCTATTTTTTGCAAAAATTGTACCCATGAGATTTTTGTGAAATAAAGTTTATGATTTGAGTTTTTTCATTGATTTTGTTATCACTTTATAATTTTGCTTCAATGAAATCTTTCATTATGCGTGCTCTTGTGATTCTTCATTATCTTAATAGATGAATAGATTTACTTAAATTTAAAAATTGAAGAGAAATAATTTCCTTAGAAACTAAAGCTTTAGAAAGAAAAGGATCTAGTTGTTTTTTGGGGAAAGAAGAGTGAAGCTCCAAACATGCTACTTTATTTCTCCTCCACTTTGCGAGGGGAGGAGAAATGGGGCATGGGGAAGGAAAAAAATATGAAGTACAAGTTCCCTGCAGGGAAGGCAGGCCGCGAGAGAAAGAGCTGGATGGTCGAGCGGGAGTGGGGCGAGCTAAAGTGAGAGTGCCTCCATGGTTGTTTTGGTTGCGAGGGAGAAAGTCAGGATGCGGGCCCGGGTGGACAGAGCTTGCGTTCCCCCTTTTCTAAGTAGCCCTTAGTGACGAGGCTACACTACCACATATGACAACAGCAATGATGCACATCTTGCGGTCCAAGCGGACAATCTATGTCACGGCGTGGCAAGTGGGATTTATAGAACGCAGTGCGATGGAAAGCAATTCATTGAGCGAAGATCTTCCGGAACTTGGTTTGAATCAATGTTGTCAATAGGTGGCGCGGAGACTCCGTAAATCATATGACTCATTTCTTAGTGAATTTCTATTGCGGGATGGAGTTGTTGACGAAGAACTAATAGGAGCATTTTACCAAGGAAAGAGAAGTCTTGGAACTGGAGTTTGACGAAGACTCTGAAGAAGATGACACTCAAGTCGAAGAGACTACCCGAGGAGCACCACGAGGATTGGTTCGAGTGGAGGTGGTCACTTTGGTCTGAACTGCAACTAGCGAAGAGACAAAAGATAGCCGGAGCCAGTGAAGCCGCCCGAAGACCCAAAGCACGAATGACAGGATCGGATGTAACGTGTTTGAGAACGCCGAAGACGCGTGCTAGACCAAAGAAGAAGTCACATTGTCGGGTGATAAAGTCAAAGAGCTCGAAGTGTAGTGTAGCCATGATCGAAGGGGCTGCATATGCAACTGATGAGGATACAATGGAGGAAGTGGACCTTCTGACTACGGAGCTAGAACCTTTGGGAGTCCAGAGTGAGAAACCTTTGGAGGTGGAAGTAGGACCTTCGGAGAAGAGTACGACGACGTCAAGTCAAGGTCTTCGATCTTCCAAGAAGAAAAAAACATCCTTGGAGAAGAGTGAGTCTTCAGAGAAAGCAAACATTTCACAGCTTGAGATTAGCGAGTAGCAAGCGAAGGAACTTACTCTGAGTGAGGAGATATTGGATCATGTGGTAGAATAGATTGGTGGAACGGTGGTGGAATCCCCTGAGATTCCCTCGCATTAGTTGTCTTCGAGGTTGGCGAAACCCGAGGCTGATAAGAGATGTTCAGAGGAATAGCCGAAGGAGTTGGCAGTCACATTTCCAAACTTCTTGCATGACAGTGTAATTCCCTTATTGAAGCACTTGGATTTGCAGGATAGTGTAATTCACTTATTGAAGCACTTGGATGGGAAGCGAGAGTACGCAATGTCGAAGGAAGCAGTATTCTATATAGATATGCTCATGAATAGTACTCACATTAAGAGAGCAGCTACAATGAAGACAGCCAAAGAAATGACGAGAGAGGGTGCAGAAGCGACTACAAGTCTAGAGGTGCGTGAGGAGCAATTTCGAGCAAAGGACATGGAGTGATAAGTCTTTTGATTAAACCTTGTCCAGGTTTAATCAAAAGACTTATCACTCCATGATTGCGTCGATTAAGGCAGAGAAATGGAACTTTGGGGAAAGATCATGGCACACCCTGGAGCGCATAAGGAGGAGATGCAACGCGAATGAACTTATGGCGAGTTTGGCGGAGTAGATGAAGAAACATGGCTAGTTGGGCGACAAAATTGAAAGAATGTAAAACGATCAAATCTTCGGAGTACGTATGTAAATTAAAATTGGATGCAGATTGCAATTGGCTGCGAGATCAATTGAAGAAGGACCAGAGTTGTAGTTTCAACAATTGAGGGAGGATACGAACGACCGTTTGTGTCTGCGGGTTGAGAAGTGTCTGCAAGATCTTGTTGTGTGGGAAATCCAAATGTTGAAATTGGATACGCCGGAGCGGTGATGGATGGGACTCAAGTGGAGCTGTCCATCGGCGTCAATTAGTTAGAATAGTCAATTCTTTTTCTTTTGGAATACAATAAACTCTAAAAAACTTAAAACTATAAATTTTACACGTGTTGTTTAAGAGCCTACAGAAGCTAATCCCCTGATAAGTTATTCCCCTTTGACCAAAAAGGCAGGCCAGCATATGAGACACTTGCACATTGAAAAAAACACTAAAGTCCTGTTCTATGTATAACCAGAAAATTTCAAGTGCACAAAATACAAGTCCTCAATGGTGGCACGTGATGTGTAATTGTCGTTCTGTCGTTTCAGGTGCAGCTTCTAATCATTTTATAGTAGACACGTCTCGGCACTTCTACCCCTTGCTGAGATCCTGACGGACAAAGCTTTTCGGTAGACTTTCCTTAATACCTAGAGGTTGGCTGGAAGTCTGCCCTTTGTCCGCATTCGCTCCTTTGCCAGAATTCAAATGCGTTGGCATGCCTGAAACTTCCTGCTCTAAACAACCAAACGCAGTCAGCAACTTCGACCAAATAGCCGAGTAAACTTCAAGCATGAAACAAGCAATCAACCAATCGGGACAACAAAAAGAGATCTACTGATATGGCCATATGGAGATCCTCGGTCTCAATTCACAAGACTAGTAGGGTGAGGCATCTTCATCTCAAAATCTCAGGTTTGCAAGTTTATTTTATAATTGTATGTTACATAAGGCCCCCAAATTTGTTGCCTGCTGGCATAAGTCCCGTGGCATAAGTCCATAATATGGAAAAGCTAAGTATACGTCAGTGAGGAGTTCAAATTTCGGAGAAGAGGTCACTAACATTAGAAAATTTCGAAGACACAGAACTCGGTTGTGAACTCGAACTCAAACTATTCCTCTTATTCGTATAGCTTAATTTGAGAAAATGTTGCCATGATTTCTACCATCTTCCGCGCTCAAATGGGATTTATGTTTCATAATATGGGATTATGATTCCAACTCCGTTCGAGTTCAGACCCCTTTCAAGGATGTCAGATGACATTATTTCCGCATGAGATGTAAACAGCAAGCATGACAGAAGGGAATGAGTTCGAACCTTCATGAGGTGCAAGCGCATCTGTCCGGGCCTCGCATCTTCGCCGATGCAACTCATCACAAATTGGGAGTAGTTTAACAGCGCCTTAGCTGCTGCTTGCTTTCTCTCTTCAGCCTGAGACATCAAAGGTGCTGACGAGATTAAAAATTGCTGATAGCATCAGCATCCTTCAGCCAAACAAGAGGGATGTGCGAATACTTCATCAGTATGAACTCCCAACCTAAGCAGCAACTAACTCGCCGAGCATTGACATATCTCGAAAAATCCTGTAGACATTGCGGATGGGCCCATGAATACTCCCGCTTTGCCTCAAACAATACCGTACATAATCGATTGAGCAGTTGTGTCATTTTCTGACGTATCTTCAGGAAGATGGGTCTTGGCTATCGACCAAAATAGGGCAAGAAACTCCAAGAACTCAACCCGGTGTATAACCCAATAACACGGAGCAGACTCTTCAGTGATCGCTAAGGTTTCATCAATTTACTCAAGATGACCATAATGTGGTTCAACTGCGTCACGTGAAGCCGTGCTTACCCGTCCGTCAATCAATCAATCAGAGGGCCATTCAATCAATCAATGATTCACTTAGAACGTCAAGGTCGACACCGGGTTCTGCCACTAAAGACTTTCTGTTTCACTGGTATAGACATATTTCTTCCCTCCAGCGAAGCACAATTGAAACATCACGCACCTCGTATTCGTCCATCCCTACCGCCAAGCAACAGTCAGCAGATTCTGCTATCGATGCTGATACTTTGCGGACAGAACCCGAGTGCGCTTCCTTCCCTGAAAATAACTATCGAAAGTAAGCATCTATGTGGAAATGTGGAAAAGTATAGGCCGGCTAGGTTATAAAACGCTTCTGAAGTCGATTGATTCGGACTTTACATCTTTGTCTTGGTTTTATTGGTCCATTCAGAGGTAGCGGACCTCGACATTCTACATGTAAAAGCAATGCGAATGTGTAAAACCGGAGAATATTGTTTGGAAAGTACTGAGTTACTCTATCATCCCTCAAAAGATAACATCACTGCTTCAAGATTGTGCTAATTCATTCAAGTCAATTTTCTTCATTCAGCAAAAACTGCATATTGAAATCCTACCTATCGTTGGCAGAAATTGGTGCAATCCCACTCGTGCATCCCACTTGGCCGGTTGATTTCCGCTTCTCATTCACGTTTTCAAATATATCAGTGGCTTCTATGCTGCTGGATTGGAACTCAGCCCTCAGGCTTCGTAAATTTCTACTCATTTCTTTACACTACAGCAGTAAAAGTACTGGACTGTTATGTCCTTGTGAGCTACACTGTGCCAACCGAGTTCCATTTGTTTCTAAAGCGATCGTCCTCGCATGTTCAAAGAAATATGAGTGACTAATACAAATAAAGTCTCCAGTGGTTGGAGGGTTCTAGGATGCCGATCTAACCCGTAAAGTAGATGAATTGCAATAACATCAAAATTTAGCTTCTATGTGATTCTGGATGATCTTGACTAACAGATAAATGATCAAACAGTTTTGTTCATTGAGCAATAGCGTTTTATTTGCATATGTTAGTGAGCGAATGTGTGGGAAGAAAACCATACTTATCTGCATGGTTATTATTTTCTTTAACGTATTGTGTAAACTAATTCGCTCAACAAGTAACACTAGCTGTTGCTAATCATAGAAAAATAACTGTGTCAGGAGATGCAACTTTAGGTTATCTGAAGAAAATCTCTTACTTGTTTACGGTTTCAGCGAGATGGTTGGGACAACTCCAATGATGCCTATATTAGTTAACTTTATACCAGATTGTTTATTTTTTGTATCGCATAGTGGGGTATTATCAATTTTTGTGTTATCAAGATTTTACAAGAAAATAATCTCTTTTATTTTATTTCCTTATTTGTAAGCGGAAATTCAATAAGTACATCAGTATACTCCAATGACTTATGGTCCATACGTCTTGGGTGAGGAATATGTTAACACCATTACATGAATTTATCAACAAAGAGTGATTATTTGTACTGTGCTTTATTTTTAATAAATTTTAATCTTTCAAAATTTTGGATCAGCACCATGTATACTTCAGCAGAAAATGTCATCTTGCAACAACATATGCAAGTATATCCTGAATGGATTGTAATTCACAGCAAAATTCATAAACTGACCCTATGAATAAATCACATATTTACCTCTAAGTGTTAAAACTAAAAGGTTTATAGATTTTGACAAATTTACATGTCACTCATTTTGAAAATTTGATTGTTAAAAATAATAAAAATTTCCAAACATTCATATGTGTATTTTTTCCATATTACATTTATCACATGAAAATACATTGAATTCTGATCCATAATATTTTGATGTAATGTATGATATTCATGTAACACATGGGTTAAATGTACGTAGATTCAAGAATAAAGAATATAACACATAGATTACGTTTTGGATTCAACTTCAGGTATCAATGTTGCAATATTATCAACCTATGTTTTAAATTATTAAACTTTATTTGTTGCTATGTTGATTACTGTACCAATGTAACAACACAAGTACAAATTTGACGTCAAAAATCTCTAATTGTAAGTTTATTCCCAACATAGAGAAATGTAAGACACAACAATTGCTAATCAATACAAACCATACTTCTTTTGATTACTTCAGATAGTTTTGATTAAAAAAACGTGAATTCACAAAAATCAATTGGTAAAATTTTTGACATTTAAACAACAATAACAATATTTTTTTTCAATCAATTATCATGAATACAAAAAATGCAATTAATTTAACCTATTGTTAAATTTTGTTTGAAATTAAATATCAAACTATTTCCTTATGAGCAACAATTATGGTAAAATATTTCTTCCAATATCCATGTCTCTTTCTGTATTTATGATCATAATGGCTTTTTTCATCTCAATTTGAAAGATTTCACATTATTTATCACAATTAACATTTTTTTTAAACATTTTTTGCAATCAAAAAATGAAATGATTTTTATCTCACACAAAATTTTGCTCCAAACTATAGATGATCTGATTGAATTTTTCTACTAAATTTGCTTCAAGAATTTTTGTTGATATCTATTTGACATCAAACACAACATGTCAGGTTCAAGACATACAAAAAATTAAAATCATTTGTCAAAATGTTGTCTTCAATATTTCCAACAATTTCATATTTTTGCTACTACATTAAAATTTATTATCTTGATCTAGCACACGTATGATTCAAAAAATATTAAATTGATAATCTAAAAAATATTATATGCATCTTTTTAATTAAATTGCGATTGGAATTTTAAATTTTGCATATCACTTCAATTAATCAATGTCTATCATGTGATCTACCGGCATTTTGGAGTCGCGAGGGCAAAGTTCAGAATTTCTAGTTTTGAGTTCGAATTTCGAATGTTGAGTTAACTCTAGGTCGAGATTATTTCTTGCAGAAATTGTTTCTTTGTGTTGGAGAGTTTACCAAAGCTGAAACTTTGCAAGGGCGTGAATCTGGATAGCACGCTCCATTCTGCAAAATTTCATGCATTGAGCAATTGCAAGGTCAAAGTTCACAAATTTCTTGAGTTTTGAGTTGGAGTTTCGAGTGTTCGGGTTGAGATTGTTTCTTTGCGTTGGAATTTCTACCAAAGCTTAAACTTTGCACAAGCGTGAAGTTGGGTAACGCGCTCCAACTCGCAATATTTCACACATTTTTGGGTCCAAGGCTAAAACTTTGCATGGCATGAAGTTGGATAGCGCTCTCTAATCTGCAAAATTTCACGCATTTTGAAGTTGCAAGGCCTAAGTTCACAAATTTTTCTAGTTTTGAGTTAGAAGTTCAAGTGTTGAGTTACCTCTATGTCGAGATTGTTTCTTTGTGTTGGAGTGTTTAACAAAAATGAAACTTTGCAGGGGCATGAAATTGGATAGCGCGCTTTAGCGTGCAAATATTCACACAATTTGGAGTTGCAAGTCCGAATTTCACAAATTTCTTGAGTTTCAAGTTGGAGTGTTGAGGTCGAGATCATTTCTTGCAGAGATTTTTTTTTACGCTAGAGTGTTTATCAAGGTTGAAACTTTGCATGGGCGTGGATCTAGATAGCACGCTCCATTGTGCAAACTTTCACGTAACGAAGTAACGAGGCCAAAGTTCACATATTTCTCAAGTTTCAATTTAGTGTTTTGAGTCTTTGGATCAAGATTGTTTCTTCATGCCAAAATGTATACTGAGGCTGAAATTTTGCAAAGGTATGGATTTCGATAGCGCGCTCTAGCTTGCAAATTTTCACGCATTTTGGCGTTTTGCGGCCGAAGTTCACAAAATTCTTGAGTTTCAAGTTGGAGTTTTGAGTGTTGGGGTTGAGATTGTTTTTTTGCGCCCTAGTGTCTACCAAGACTGAGACTTTGCAAGGCTGTGGAGTTGAATAGTGCACTATACCCTGCAAAATTTCACTCATTTTGAAGTGGCGAGGCCTAAGCTCATGAAGCTCTTGAGTTTCGGATTGGAGTTTCGAGTGTTGGGGTCGAGATCATTTCTTGCAGAGATAGTTTCTTTGCACTGGAGTTTCTATCAAGGCTGAAACTTTGCAAAAGCATGGATTTGGGTAGTGCGGTCTAGCATGCAAAACTCCACGCATTGTGAAGTTACAAGGGTTTATTTCACAAATTTCTTGATTTGCAAGTTTTCTATGTGAAATTAAAATCTTCAGTAAATTTAATCTTTGAGACGGAGCACAAACTTAACTCAAAACTCATGCGTGATTGAAAAATTGGTAGTGCGCATTAGCCCGCAAAGTTTGAAGATGAACGCATGTTTGAGTTTGAAGTTAAGGAATTTTTGAAGTTTCAACTTTGAGTTTTGAGCGTTCGGGTGGTAACCATAATCTTCAGAAAATTGTATCTTCAAGACAAAGCATGAAGTGACGCTGAAACTTTGTACTAACTAGGACACCAGTAGTGCGCACTAGCGCCCAAAGTTTGAAGCTGAACAGATTTTTGAGTACGAGATTAAAGGATGTTTGGAGTTTTGACTTTGAGTTCAAGTGTAACCAAAATCTTCAGAAAAAATTATCTTTGTGATTGAGCATGAAATTGTAATGACATACAAATACCAAAATGGAGCATAATGGTACAGATCCGTTCCCACGAGCACAGAAACAATCACAAAAGTCACAATTTGTCACAGAATAGCATTCTATTAAAGAGTTTCACTTCTTAGGCCAATGCCACTCCCAGAAGACACTACCCAGCTAGAGTCGAAGACCCGCAGAGTAGTGCATAACCACACTCACAGCCTGAAACTTTTCCAAACAATGCCTGTAGGAATCGCTTGCAACTCCACACTTATATTTCAGGGGGAAAACTTCTCAGCATTGCATACATCTCAACTCACTGACCCGAATACTCAAACCCAAATTTGCTTAAATCCCAAGGAGCCTCAACTCACAGGACACTCGAGCCGAATACTCACAACTCCTGATGCGGTAACTTTGACAAACAGGAGCGCACCGTGCCTCAGGCTTGGATCACACACTTGCGCACAGACACAATGGATACAGATTCTCAATCAAGACAAGCCAATTGACAGAAAAGCCCCCTAAGGAAAGAGCCTTGGGCCTCTTTATTCACAGTGGCAACTCTGGGATATCAACTGCCTGAGGCGAATCGGTCTCAGGGGCTGTGCCGTCCAATGTAACAGTTACAACATCGTCTGAACTACTATCTAATCCTAATCTACGCAACACGTTTACAATCTCTACTTCTACATTCTTGCACGCCTCATTCAATTCCTCTGAAAAACCGTGTTATTTTACCACGACCAGAGTCTAAGTTGTCTAGGAACTTACTGAGTTCCTCCACCTTCTTCACAATGTCTACCCCGTATAGATCATTCAGGGCTTGTCTAACTTCTTGTTCGACCCTAAGGTTTCCAAGGGATTTAGCCTCTCGAATCCACTGCCCAGCCACTTCCCTTATGCTTGCCGAATCGGTGTTCCGATAATTCTCAGGCATCTGGGCTGGTCCGTTATCCTGTTCCCATGAGTACTCACTGGAACAAGGTAACTAACTCTACAATCTGTTTGTGTCATGCGGATCCGCTGGCCTTCGCGCTCATCAGCCATGGCTCGAGTGAATCTAACTTCATCCACTTCACCGAGTCCAATCCCCACATCGCGAACCTGTTCAAGCACTTCTCTAACCGCAATTTCAACACGTCGGTTGACTCCTCCCGCAGCTGACGGTAGGCATCCTCTGCCTTTTCCATTCTCCTTTGTGACTCTTTCGATCTCATCTCCTCCTTCCCTTACTGCTCTCGTAACCGTCGACAGTCGGATTCAACCTTTAATTTACATTCGACCTCCAAAAACTTGGCCGACTCGCAATC